ACTCCTCAGATTTCCGTCATTAATAACTCAATAATTATTGCGAATCTCGTAAAACGGTATAGGACTTTTATGTTTGTCTTAATCCAATCTATCTTCATACTTCGGGTTGGCAGCTAATTACCGGACACCCTGTATAATCATATATGATCTTTTTTCCTGAGTTTAATTTCTGGCATAATGGTTGTCATATAATTAAGAGCAAAAGAACAGATTTAAATGTTATTGCAGAAATTAACGAAGCTAAATTTGAGAAATATAAATATTATTGTGAACGTTTCATTACCGGTCAGTGATTATTTGGAGGTATCGAGCAACATAGTGACAGATTATTTGTCGTTCCCGTTGAATAACGTTCATACCAAATTCTTATTTCAATTATTGATCTGTTCTTTGTAGTTGCACTATTGAACTGGTGCAATAAGTTAAAGTGAGACAAATATAGGTTTTCTCACTCTAGCTTATTGCACCAATTCAGCAGTGCAGCTACAAAGAACAGACCATAGACCTCGCTGTATTGCACCAGATATTATTATCTATAATGACTACTAAGGAGCATATAATGAATTGAAATATTATAACTACATACACGCGCATCGGGTGTGAACTATATTGGACATTTTATAAATCCTTATATAAGAATTTACATACAGAATATAAAACATATGACATGATATTCGAAATGAGATATCGAGATTTGAAACTCGTAATTATTGTTACATGCATTATTTGACAAAATTTATGTTCAAAGATAAATATCAATATTGTGAATATACCAGGTGTGTCGGTAATTCCTTTCTGGTTTTTTCGCTAAAGAAAACACGTTATTTACAATGGATAGTTAAAATATATTTATTCAAAGTATTGGTCATTTGATTCTATACATTTTTCCCATCTCTCAGGCAATTTATGGATGCCATTCCAAAAGAACTGTTTCTCTTTTGAGCTAAACCATTCATCGAGCCATTTTTTAACTTCTTCGACATCGGCGAAGCACTGCTCTGCAAGCGCGTGCCCCAACGATACGAAAAGGTGGTAGTCGGATGGAGCCAGGTCTGGAGAGTACGGCGGGTGCGATAAAACTTCCCATCCAAGTGATTTCAACACTTCTTTGACTGGTTTTGCTGTATGAGACGGCGCGTTGTCATGCTGCAAAATCACCTTATCATGTCTTTGAGCGTATTGTGGACGTTTTTCGATCAATGCACAGTTCAAATTGATCATTTGTTGTTGGTAGCGATCAGTATTAACTGTTTCTCCAGGTTTCGACAGTTCATAATATACGACACCAACCTGGTCCCACCAGACACAGAGCATGGTCTTGCGACCAAAGCGATTTGGCCTTGCAGTCGATGGACCGCCTTCACCAGGTGATAACCATGATTCTTTTCGCTTGGGATTTTCGAAATAAATCCATTTTTCATCACCCGTTACTATTCGATGCAGAAATGACTTCCTTTCATACCTTTGAAGCAGCATTTCACTGACGATTTTTCGATTTTCCAATTGCCTGTCATTCGATTCATGTGGCACCCATCTTCCCATCTTTTGAATCTTTCCCATCGCTTGTAATCGTTCACAAATTGCTACTCGGCTCACATTCAATTTTTCTGCCAATTGTTTTTGAGTTTGTGTTGGGTCTTCATCCAATAACTCCTGCAATTCCGCATCTTCAAACGTTTTTGGTCTACCAGGACGTTTTTTGTCTTGAACGTTGAAATCACCACATTTGAATTGTCGAAACCACGTTTCACATGTTCTTATGGTTGGAGCATGCTCACCGTAAGTCTCTACCAGCAAACGATGACTTTCGGCGGCTTTTTTCTTTTGATTAAACAAGAAAAGTAATGCGTGCCGCAAATGCACGTTTTCAGGCACAAAACTTGACATTTTCAAAAAATTATTAATCTATAACGCTGTTATTTTGGCGGAACGTAACTTGTGTAGTTTTGAGGTTAATGTCAGTAGAATAAAATGACATATGTATCAAATCATAACATTGCATACTTATGGCTAGTGACATCTGTTACAAAAACCGGAAAGTAATTACCGACATACCTGGTATATATACATTTTTCAAAATAATGACACATACAACATTATATCCTCTCAATGAGGACAGTACGATATTTGTAACTGAGCAACCATAAAAAAGTACGCTGTTGTCTATGTTTCCTTTTTTAGTAATTGATTCTGATAATTGACACTAAAATTTTTCGCCACACTAAATTGATGAGTCTAGTATACAGAGTGTCCGGAATGTGATCATTAATATTTTGTGTACTGGTGATTGGGTGTAGCCGAGAAGAAAAGTCATGTACCATAATGTCAAATTGGCAATAGGTATCGAGTTATTAATTGAAACATGTGAGCCAATGAGCGCGTAAAGCGCTGCCTCCTAATACGCCCTCCTTCTTTCATGACGGATCCCCCTTCGGCGCGTTGCAAAAACGTGTCCAAGCGCCCGGGGGCAGCCAAAATATGGCGTCGACCTCGAGGCTTATTTATATGATTTGTACCGGATAAGGAGAGGCAACGGTAGAGGCCGGCATACATGGACAGCAGGTCTTAAAGGATAGCAACCTTTGACTTTGATAGACCACCAGCTTATACCACTAGGTACAAATAACAATGGCTGCGTTCAGTAGAACAAAATGACCAGTGAGCGCTTAGTGATTATTATCTGTGATTGGAGCAATCTTTTAGATTCTTCATAGACCCAGAAGTATTTACCAATCAGGTAAATCAGGCGAGAATCACTAAGCGCTCACTGATCACTTTGTTCTGCTGAACGCCAATGCCTCTCTCTGTAGTCGCCGTGCGCTCGGGATAGCACTAGAGATGTCGCTTCCGAACGACATCTCTTAACGTTATTTAGGGAGGGGAGAATGTTGTTAGCGTGGAGCGTCAGGTAGCTCAGGGGTTTAGAGCAGTCGCCCGGCAAGCGAAAGACCCGGGTTCGATTCCCCCGGTCTAGCGACTACCGCGCTCTCGATATTTTTCTCTCTTCGGAACGAAAATAAGATGCAGGTCGAACGCACGGCGTCCCGTCGCCACCTAGTACGCCCTCCTTCTTTTACCATGAAAGTTCGGGACCTGCATCATCTTATTTTCATTCCGAAGAGAGAAAAATATCGAGAGCGCGGTAGTCGTTAGACCGGGAATCGAACCCGGGTCTTTCACTTGCCGGGCGGCCGCCTCTTGTCGCTTGCGCTCGCTCGCTCCTCATTGGGCGTGCACGCCTCTTGTCATTTACAGTTGCCTTTTGCCGTGCGAGGTAAGCCATCTTCTTATACACAGAGCCCGTCCTGTCGCTTTCTCGTGCGCTCATTCGTTTACACATTTTAATTAATTACGGAATAAATATTGAAAAAATTGTAAAACGGCATAAGATTTTTTTAATTGTTTTAACGAGTTCTACCGGTACACAAAATATTAATGATCACATTCCGAACACCTTGTATAAAAGATTTTGAAAAAATTAACATACTGTGATCAAAAAGTATCCGAACTTTATTTTTAAAAATCGCGAGTAAACTGTAAATCAAATCCGTTTGCTTTCTTTAGTTGGTACACATGTCCTTCATATTTGGTGAAAAAATGATGTTCTTTCAAGCCGTTTGAAAATGGCAGTTGTTTATATCAGTGAAGATTGTTGTGCACGGCGATTTTTACGATGTCGAAAAATATGGAACAAAGAATTTGTTTAAAATTTCGTTCACAAACGCATTCAAAATTTTGCAAAAAGCTTATGGCGATAATTGTTTATCGAAAACAAGTACGTTTGAGTGGTTTAAGAAGTTTCAAGAAGAACGAGAATCCGTTGAAGACGCCCCACGCTCTGGAAGACCATCAACGTCAACGGATGACGCTCACATTGAGAAAGTGAAAGAATTGGTGCTCCAAAATCGTCGATTGACTGTGCGAGAGATAGCAGATAAATTTGGAATATCATTTGGATTGTGCCAGCACACAATCTGTAAGAAACGACCGGAATTGTGGAAAAACAACTTGTGGATGTTGCATCACGACAACGCACCATCGCATACCTCGACACTTGTGCGTGAATTTCTGACAAAAAACTCAACGAATGTCGCTCCATAAGCACCGTATTCACCAGAAATGGTCTCCTGCGACTTTTTCCTGTTCGCCCTACTGAAAAAACCACTTCGCGGACAGCGTTTCGAATCGATTGAGGACATTAAAGAAAAATCGCTGCGTGAATTGAAGGCCATACCGTCTGCCGCGTATCAGCGATGTTTCCAGGACTGGATCAAACGTTGGCATATGTGCGTTGCAAACAATGGGGACTACTTTGAAGGAGACTATAAGAATTTTGATGATTGAATTGTAATTTTAATTTTTAAAAATAAAGTTCGAATGCTTTTTGATCACAGTAGTAAGCCCCTATACGCAAGGTTTGGAATTAAATATGTAAAAGATAATGATTTTAGTGATATGTAAAATATGTAAAAAATATTTTAGTGATCGTTTTAATACAAATCTTGCGCAGGAGTTCTTATTAATATTCAGGTTTGTTATTTTAGTATACAATAGAATTAACCACGTGTTTTCCTTTTAAATGTAAACAATATCGGAAAATTACACCTTATTTATGAAACTTCTGTTGTTAATAATCTTTTAATAAACAGACTGAAAATAAGCGACGACTGAAATCTTTTAAAGGGGAGTGACCTCTATAATATATGTTAAAATCAAGATCATCGGAGCTGAATATCATTTAAATTGTATAATTACCAAATTAAGCGAATCTCTTATTGTTTACTATTTCTCTTCTTCTTAAATTTTTTATTCTGTGATTAATTAATATACTTTTTTGATCTGTTTGAACTAATTTATAATTTATAATAGCGGAAAAAAATTTTTTCTTTTTATATATTTTACGAAAATTATATTTTTATATTTTTTATGAAATGTTACATTTATATTTTTTATGAAAATTATTGCATTCTCAAGAATTGATAATAAATATGGATACTTACTCAATGCTACCCCCTGGATCCGCAGATATATCGCAGATAGCGAGCATTCTGTGCGGCAGAGCGGGTGCACCAACACTTATCGGTAGCCATGGCGTATGAGCAGGTCTTAGCAAGTACTTCGCATCTGGTATTGTCAATAGCTTTGGTGAATCCACCGCCCAGTATATGCCATTGATGATCACCGAAGCGTAGGGTGCAATCTTTTTACTGAAAGTGGAAATGTATAATTCCGGGTGCTTCTCGTATTCCTCGGGATCGAAACCGCCACCCTCTTTTTTCTCTAGATGATGCCTGCGTCGCACTTCACAACCGTATATTTTTGTAGTATCTGTAGCAAATCGAGGAACAAACATGTACTGATAAATGATATTGCGAGATATTTTTGTTTGCGTTAGACGATGGCGAAGTTTGCGAATCTAGTGGCGTCTTGCCGTTATCATTAAAAAATATACAATCTGATAACCCACTTATTTGTGTCACGTGAATTACGAGAAAAAATCGAAATATGTACGTTAAAAAGGTTCCGAAATTACATCCATGATTATACGATGCAATAAGAATCATATCGCAGCAGCAATGATACGATAAACCAAGCGTTCATTCACAATGACGCTTAAAAAAATTCTAAATCACGTTTCTTCAAGATAACATGTCAAGCGAGACAAAAAATGAGAAATAATCAGAATGACCGTCACAATGTTCTTGATAATTCGAGTGTAGAAAGAAAGAGTGATAAAACGCATGTAGAGTGTAGACCGAGTGTAGAAAGAAAGAATGATAAAACGCATGATTACGTGACATTGATAAAAGATTACGCCATACCACCGTGCTCGGCGACTTTCCGCAGCATCTCCGGCGGCACGTACTCGTGAGGAAGTTCTTGGAAGACTTCCTGTCCGCCTTGACTCACGTTACCACTGCCTGTGAAAACGAAGGTCAGTGGACCGATTGATTTTGGCATGGCGCCTAGCGCGATCTCATATCCTGCGCCGCGAATTGCTTGGCGTGCCATTGCTGAATCTCGATAATTGTGTGCTGGTCCGATGTGCTAATGAAAAACGATCACCCTGCGGTTAGTACCCGAACACGTAAACACTAAACATCGAAACACTAAACAAAATTCCATGAACCGGCGTACCATGAAGGGTGTATGGTGACCCAGAGCTAGCAACCTCAGACCTAAACCATGCAGTATGTTCACCATACCAGCTACTCCGGCATACTTGCCGAAAGCTACTACTCTCTGGCCGTTAGCGTCTGTAAGTTTTTCGTAATCTAGCAGACGTATGTTCTTCTCTAAGATTGCGTCCAGAAGGGCCATATTACTCTCCTGTGCTTTAATGGTGTGCGAAAAGAAGCAATACGTCTTATTAGGTATTAGCTGGTCTATTGGCACCTGCTTGACACCGAAAATCACGGATGCTGAGCTGATATCCTCCTGTAGAAGTGCGCCAGCTGCCTGGTAAGCTTGTGCTGGGTATGCTCTTCGGTTGCTCGGCTGCACAATTACCTTCACACCCGACCTGACAAGACGGCGAACATTTGCCGGGGCTAACGGCGCTCTCCTTTCCCATACTGATTGGTCTTCTCGCCTTATGGCTATTACTTTACCCTTAAGATTCTAAAAAATTTGATGAGAACGGGAACGCTCAGTTGCTTGGCACATTCTATGCAAGTGTCTCGCGTTTTTGCGAGTGTAATGTAATATAATATTAATTGCGGTCCGAGCGAATTAACTTATAATTAGATATGTTGCGCAGAAAATACTGAAATACTGAAAGATTATTACCGAAACGTGTCTATGTCTATTTTAGTATTATCTTTTCAATTTGTTTCATAAAAATATAAATTTGCCACGGATAACAAGCGTCGGCTCTTATTAGCAATGTTTAATTCTATATGATTGAAAAATAGGCTGTCAACTTAGCGGAAAATATGTCTCAGAGATGTTACGCAATTAAGCAATTATCAATAATGATAGTCACTAGATTCATTAATATAAAAAAGCTTCAGTGCTAGTGTATTTTAGATTATTTTATTATTTTTTTAACAATTTTGAGATTATCAGATATCAGATATGATTGTGTATATAATAACGACTCTCAGGGCTTCTGCAGAATTTAGAGAATGGCAAGCTTTTTGAATCCGCCATTTCATATTGTCATTCAAGCCATACATAATAAACATACATAATAAGTCAGACTCGTGATACGGATTATAAGCCGAAGATAAATATAATTCTATAGAAGTACTGAAAACTCGACAGCGTGAGACAAAAGATGGGAATCTAAATTAGAAATCTAGAAATCTAGATAGAAAGATGGAAATATCTTCATCAAAATAGTAGACACTTTGAATATTTGTAACCATCTTTTTATTTTCGAGTAATATTAAATTTTTTTTTCAAGCAAAAGTTGTTTCTTTTTTTAAGCTCTATCCAACGATACATATATTGTCCCATATTCCTATGTAAAATTTTTAAGTTGCCTTTGGTTCCAATATTCTCGGATGTTTATTCCCAAAAGTAAAAATACCATCATCAGAATTTCAAATAAGTTTTTATGGTAACATATTTTCCCAATTTCCTAGTATTACCCCTTTTTAAAATAAAAAAGGTGGATAGGTAGTCTGAAACACTATGTATAATATAAAAATAAAATATAATTGTAAAAATATTTAAAAATAAAAATTAGACAAGAAACACATAGACGTAGAAAAAATAAGACAAAGAGAAAGAAAAAAAATTGAGACAGAAACATTATTTAAACGTTTAAGAAACTGTTTATGAATATCTTGCGAAATCGTCAGAGAAACGACTTTATGACGTCTTCGAAACGCCTTAATTAGTCAGATAGCCAAATCTGCAAAAACAGATTTTACAGTGTCTGTTACAAACTATCAGCCATTTAAAAAAATATATCACGTTTCTTACTGATATAAATATAATAGGATCTAATAACAGACTGACAGCAGAAACCGAGAAGAATCTGCCATTCCAATTATATTCTAATTATTAATTATTATTATTTACATTACAATATTTAAATGGAACATATTGCAGATCCTGCTCGCTTTCTGCCATCTAATTCAAATTCTTTTAGTAGATTTTACCGACAGAATACAAACCAAATGCGAACACAGATGTCTATGAATTTGTCGCTGATCTGTCGCAGACTACTTAACAGATTGCTTATTGAGTAAAACCAATTAAATTAATTATTACTGGAAACTCTGACTACAATAATTTTAAACGTATTTATATTGAGAATAAAAAACGTATTTATATTGAGAATAAAAAGTTGCTTACACTTATGCATTTATTACTATAAATGACGGCACGAGTTGCGGTAGTCAAAAGAAGACGTGATTCACGTCCAATGCTAATCAATCTTAACATCCACATCACCCTTTCGTTGATGACGAATCCACGGTAGTATTAAAAGTCGTCCGTTGCTGTGGAAAGATGCGAGAAAGAAAAAAATGAAAGAGAAAATTCACCAGTTAAAACTGATATACGGTGATCGTGTTGGCTGGAACGATACTGTTTCTTCACAGCAAAGTCACGCCTCTGTTTTGAACCGAGTCCACAGTATTACTAACATGATGTTGCTGGCGCTGCGAGTGTCAGAAAGTATTACAAAATCAGTGATAAGTTCTTAGAGCCCCATTCTTATCAGCATCGTACGACATTTGACCGTACATATATGCTGAGCTATATATACCATTAAAAAGAGCTTACAGTTTATCCTGTAAAAGAATTCTTCCCCTCACTTCGTTCACTTTAAGCGATAAATGGAATGATACATGTTATTGGGCTAACGATAAATGTGTAATCGCGAGCGACATGAGGATTTTAATTCACATACGTTGTTACTCCGCTCGATCGATGAGGAGTTAAACCAATTAAATATATTAATATAATTTAGTGAAATATTAATTACATTTAGACGTCTTTTCCATCGTGATTATAAGAAGCAGCTATATGTATTATTTAGTTCACACAATTATAAATATTACTTAAGTTCGAACAATTATAAATATTACTTAAGGCTCATTCGTAAGAGTTACTAGAATCAGTTGGATTGTGCCTTGATTGACAAATACATCTTGTTTTTAATGGTTTGTTTGGTTGGATTGATTTTCTTCAATATCTGAGTCATGATGTTGACGAGTTGCTCAGACGTAAGACCCGTCTTCTTCGATTTGAATTTTTGCAATAACTCGGTTGTCGTCATGGGTTTACGCATTAGATATCGTCGTACTGCATCTTCCGTAATGCCCGATTCACTGTGAGATATAAGAAGCGTGTGAGTGTCATCGCATTAACAGGTAAATATATGTTTACATTTTTCGTATTAGTTAGAGCGTATTTAAAATGTTACCATAAATGGGATTTATACCTTGCTCCTGGTATATACGATGTCGGAACTAAATTAAAATTGTCCAATTTTAGTTTCTTTGCTTGCGATAGATCTGGCGATCCAGTTTGCTTTCTTTTAAGAGAATCGACCACTCCCGACGCAGCTGGTGTTGGTGTCGCAGATCTCGAACTATGCGCGCTATTGGGCTTCTTATTGTCCTTTTCTTTCAATGTCGTATCAGAATCAGATTCCGAATCGCTGGAGAAATCGCTTGAGGAATCTTTTCCCGATGAGGATCTTTTTTGATCCTTCTTCTTAGCTTTCTTCTTTTTTTTCTTATCTTTTCTTCTATCGGTTTCTTTACCGAGTTTATCTTTATCCTGGAAAGAAGCAATATTAAAAATACGATAATTATATGATAACAGGGTAGACCATTTTAATCTACGCACTGAAATCTCTCACAATCCATAAGTTTAAGACAAAAATGTTTGAGACAAAAGTTGTTTAGCTTGAGGGAACATAAAACAGCGGTAGCATTTTGTTTATAAATAGCACCACTTTCGAGATATTTACTGATCAATTTTCTTAAATAGAAATCCCAATTTTTTATTATATCATCTTTTTTTATCAATTAATTTGAACAACTCTTGTCTGAAACATTTTTTTATTTGCTTAATATATTTTGATATATTTAAGAAAAACTTGGTAACCTTTTTAACATTTAACTTACGATATTTCACTATTCATCGAAAGAAAAAATAGTATTAGACTTTTTTACTTTACTTATTGTCAAGAATATATTACTATAATAATGCCCTAACTTTTGTTAATTTAATAATTTTGAAATTTCCGAAGGTCGGTAAGTTAACAAAAGTTGGGGCACTATTATAGTAATATATTCTTGATAGTAAACAAAATAAAGTCTAATATTATTTTTTCTTTCGACGAATAGTTAGCGAGATATTGTAAGTTAAATGTTAAAAAAGTTACCAAGTTTTTCTTAAATATCTCAAAATATATTAAGCAAATAAAAAAATATTTCAGACAAAAGTTGTTCAAATTAATTGGTAGGAAAAAATGATATAATAAAAAATTGGGATTTCTATTTAAGAAAATTGATGATCAGTGAATATCTCGAAAGGGGCGCCATTTATTAACAAAATGCTATCGGTTTTATGTCCCCCTACAAATTAAACAACTTTTGTCTTAAACTTATAGATTTTGAGAGATTTCAGTGCGTAGATTAAAATGGCCTATCCTGTATAATGCTAATAATAAATGTGACAAAATGATTCACATTATTTAACGAGCAAGTATAAAGCTTAATATTACACATAATTTATCGATAAATGCCACATAACAATAATATAGTACTTTATCATCCTTTTCTTTCCCCTCCTCATCGTCGTCTTTATTTTCTTCACTCTCTTTCTTATCTGTTTGTTCCTCATCATCCTCCTCTTCGTCAGATGCGAGTAATTTCCTCAAAGCATCCTCTTCCGCAACAGATTTGATCTCTTTCTGTTGTTCCAATTCCGATTCAGGATCAGAAGAATCAGAAATATAATCACATTCTCGTCCCTCTTCATCACCATCATCACTCTCTTCAAATGCTTCATCATCTGAAGCATTTTTCTTTTTCTTTTTCTTTTGAAGTATTTGACCTGGACATATTTCATTAAGTTTTATAATATTTGTATATATAAATTATATTTGTATATATAATTGTATTTGTATATATAAACTAATAACTCAAAATAATTCAATTTCTATAGCAAATATAAAAACAACTTTTTTTTTATTTTATATTCATTACCTTTGCCTTTTTTTTTCTTTTTTGGATCATCCTCATCATCAGATCCTTTTTTAGTTTCTTCTTCATCACTGCCTGACTCATCGTCGTCACTGTCCATCCAATCATCCATTTCTGAAATTTTTAGTTCCTTTTCTTTCTTACTTGGTCTCTTGCTTTTACCACTCTCCACTAATTCCTCATCATCTCCACCATCTTCATCATTCCTTAACCGCTTGCGTAACATTAGAGAAAAATAATTCATCACTTTATTTCTACGACTGAACTCCTGCTCAGCCTCTTCGGCACTGAGAGCCTTGTATCTCTGAATTGGTTGAAAATTATACCTATATGCAGAAATCAAATTTAATTTTTTTAGTGATTATTTATACAAAATTATTTATACAAAATATGTTTATACAAAATAATATTATAGAATACTAACCATTCATGTAAAGGAAAAGCTTCTATAACACCATCGGTAGCATGTGTAAAAACATAATATGCTGCATTTTCACTGATTCCTCCTTCTCTTATACCTTTGAATTTCTTTCCAGTTTTTCCTCCTGCCTTCAAGATCCATGGCTGATCTTCTGGCTTATATTTTCGACTTGTAATACCAAACTTTTTTCTTCTAGCTTCTTCCCTGGCATCACGTCCAAATTCAGATCCAGCACCAAACTTGGGCATTTCTTCTTCTATACCCTTATATTCCTTCATATTATTTTCCCGTTCCATTTTTACCTGTGTCCATTTTGAAAAATCTACATCCAGTGTTGCATTGAATCTCATTACATTGTGCTTCTTCTTGCTATTTCTAAAAATTTCAAAATGATTTGTAATTAAAATTATAGTAATAAATATAATAAAAAAAAATATAAAATTTTTCATAAAATATGGCAAAAATATATAAAAAATTAATAATTTAGAAACAACACAATAATTTAGACAACACAATAATTAAACATAACACAATTTAAACAACACAAAATAAGATAAGTATTCATATGAATCTTTCTATGTTATTCTACTATATATATTAAATTTTTATCCATCATATTTATGTCTTATAAAAGATTATATGTAAGTTATACAAACTTTGGTACTTTGATACTGAATTCCTGTACAGATGGGGCTGTAGGCTAAAAAAGAAAATTATATATACAATTATCGTAAAAATATTACTATAATACTAATGTGCACATTTCTTAACAATTACTTATAGTAACATAACCTCTGATCATAATTGTACATATTTCTGAAACATACCTTGGGAATAGTGTTTGAATTCATAATAAAATTTAATAATATCCGTATAATCTTTTTTAATACTGCAATACTTATAATTTGAAATCATGTATTTTTAACTTATAAATATAATATATTATATAAGAATTGATCATGTGTTTGTCCTCAGTAACGGGTGCATTCACGACACTCAATAATTTAGTTCAGTTCGGTATATGGCTTTAGGTAGACGGGTGTACCCATACGCCATTCTCCAGCTGCGTTTAGGGGAGGGAGACACTCAATAGTTGCGCAACTGTTTCGTCTGTACGGCCTGGTCTACAATACGTGTCGTAAATTGTAAGCCGTAAGAATTGGCGAATCACAGTCGATTATTACAAAAATAATCGGCTATAATTGGTCAGTTCTTACGGCTTACAGCTTACAACACGTATTGTAGACCAGGCCTAAGTGTAAGTCTACAACCTCGCTTTAAGAAAATATTTGATCTCTAAAGGTTCGTCTACATTAGCTGTAAAGGCTCGTCTACAATAGCTGTAAGAGTAAGGCTGTAAGGCTGTAACGTAAGCTGTCAAGACTCGTCTACATTAGCTGTAAGAGTAAGGCTGTAAGGTTGCAAGACACGAAATGAAATATTTTCATTCGCTGACAGCTTACGTTACAGCCTTACAGCCTTACACTTACAGCTATTGTAGACGAGCCTTCAGCGAATGAAAATATTTCATTTCGTATCTTGCAACCTTACAGCCTTACTCTTACAGCTAATGTAGACGAGCCTTAAGAGTAAGGCTGTAAAGTTGTAAAACACGAAATGAAATATTTTCATTCGCTGACAGCTTACGTTACAGCCTTACAGCCTTACTCTTACAACTAATGTAGACGAGCTTTAAGCTGTAAGCTCTAAGCTGTAAGCTGAAAACTGTTAAATAAACCTTAAAGACGGTAATCTACAATATAAAACGTAAGGCGTAAAACGTGACGTAATCAGCCAATGAGAGAAGGGTTATTCGGACTTGGTGGTTGATGATAATGCATTTGTAAACACGCAGTTTCTTTACTTTCTACATAACCAAGATGGATTTACGTCAAGCTCTCCTGCTAACAATGGTGTTGTGTTCGTGGAATGTGCATCTTTTACAAATATATGGAGTACAAAATCGGAGGTAAAGCCAGCGGCACACGGTGCTTGTTTTCGTGCTGGATTGCTTGCTGGACACAGATGTCTATACTATACTAGATTGCTAACTTCAATCTTTGACCTATACAAGAGCTGTGTCCCGCCTATTTTCCGGTTCGGCCATGAAGACCGCCAAAACATGGCGGCGGTGTGTGTTTGTAGTGCGTACGTAAGTATACGATGCGTGTGTAGTAGTGCTGTACTGTAAGTATGTGATACCTGATGTGTCTACACTGATGTGTCGTATCTACTGCTATTTATATTAGTAAAACTGCAAATATATAAACGAGATAATGCCAAGTACATGTTGCATTGTTAATTGCAATAATACGAATAAAAAAAGATATCACTTATTTAAGTAAGTAGAATACATTTATATATAATAAATGTTCGAGGTTTGTAATATGTGAGGGTTATCTTGCAATTAAACATTGTTAATATTATTAATATTATTAATATTAGGATGTATTCACTTACAAAAACAACAAAAGATAGAAATCCTGCAAGTAACAGACACAAATTTACAGAATTAATATTATTTAATAACACATAAGTTGCATTTTATTCTTTATATGTATGTAAAAAATATTAATACAAATACTTTGACATATTTTGAACTGTATATATTCAATTTAATTTTAACCTTTACCAAACACTTAGATTAGCAACACTTTATTAATACACATATCTTTAAATGATATTCTTTCTTGTTCGTATTTTTGAAATTTACAATACTTATTCGGCATTATCTCGTTTGTAGATTTGCAGTTTTACTAACATAAATAGTAGTAGACACATCAGGTGTCACATACGCACTACCACGTACTACTACATACGCATCGGGTATTCACATACACACTACAAACACACACCGCCGCCATGTCTTCTTGTCGGTCTTCATGGCCGAACCGGAAAATGGGCGGGACACAGCTCTTTTGAGAAGTTAGCAATCTAGTATAGTATAGACATCTGTGTTGCTGGATGAAAATACTGCGTTCTGATTGGTACATTTCCGAAGATGGATGGAAATGCACCAATCAGAACGCAGTATTTTCATCCAGCAAGCAATCCAGCACGAAAACAAGCATCGTGTGCCGCTGGCTTTATATCGGCGAGCGAGGTTATATCCACGATCGACGGTGTATTCTTAATTGGTCTGTTCTTTTCAGTTGCACTGCGGAACTAGTGCAATAAGTTAGAATGAGACAACTATATTTTTTCTCACTTTAACTTATTGCACCAGTTCAGTAGCGCAGCTGAAAAGAACAGACCATTTGACACGACAAAACGTCCTCTTCGCTGATTGGCTGAAAATTATATGTCGGCTTTAAGCTCTATGCTCTAGGCCGTAGGAATTGAGTTTTGCGCAATTCGCTTAGATCTAACGGCTAAAGCTTAAATACTGCGCGGGAATGTCTTAGAGACGGAAATAACGTCACTTACGGCTTAGAGCTTACATCCTCTTAAAGCAAGGTTGTAGACATACACTTAAAGGTCATCTACAATGAGGTTGTAGTAGTATGCAGTAGGCAAATTGACCAATCACGATCGATTGTTCTCTTTATGATCGAAGGATAATCGACTGTGATTGGTCAATTTGCCTACTGTATACTACTACAACCTCATTGTAGAATTACCTTTAGGCCATTGCACGTACAAAAGTTTTAGTCGTAACCATAAGTCCGTAAGCAAATTGATCAATCACAATTCATATATTTCGAGATGCTGGATTGTGATTGGTCAATTTGCTTACGGTCTTACGGTTACGACTAAAATTTTTTTACGTGCAATGGTCTTTACTGTTTATCAGTTTTCTGAAGCAGTAGGAATTTTGTGCATTTTGTGCGATAGCAAGTGATCATTAATTTAGTGAGAGGTGTTTATTTTCAGGTTATTTGCAGGTTATTTACAAGTTATTTACAGGTTATTTTCAGGTTATTTGCAGGAAGAAGAGCCGAGTAAGGAGAGAAAGCGTGTGGAGATAAAATATTTCTATTTCTGTAAGTAAATATTTATATGTAAATATGTAAATCGGTTTAAATTATTTCACAATGTTGTTCGTTGATCTTTCCTAAGATCTCAGATAGCACAAATGTTTTAAACACATTTGATTTATATCAGAGAGAAACCTGAGAGCGGCCACCGGGCGAAAGCATATGTCTGTCCTGATACGCCCCCTGAGAAAATAAACGTCAACTAACTCGATATGTCGGTAACGATACGAGGTTTATGTCTATGATTTGAGTCTGGTTAATGTCCGAGCTACTAAAACAGACTATAGTGGAAATGATATATATATATATATATATGAGTAAGAGAAGGATAACAATTGAATCGCTTTGACTTTGTCTCACCACTAGTGAGCAGACACGCGACACAGGCACAAGTAATGCTGGAAATTAAACGCACGGTCGAGGCTTACCCCCACCACTCGGTTTTCTCTGTCTTCTCACGCGCTTGGTGCACTGAGCGAGATTGAGATAGCCCGTTCATGCTCGCCTTGTTGCACTCTGAGCGAAACAGCTTACTCATGATCAGTGATAGCAGATTTCAACCTAGTGGCTCCGCGTCTCACGGTGGAAGGGGAAACGCACAACGAAAGCCGCATACATGTGGCACATGTACGCGGCTTTCCTTTGTATGCGTTTCCCTTTCGACCGTGGCACAGTGGGCCAGAATATCTGTAAATGTGTAAATGTGGCCAAAAGTTAATATCCGCATTGATCTAAAATAAAGTTATTATTGTATTAGAATGTTTGAAAATAGTTATAAGAGAAATGTTACGTTGATTGGATTGTTTTTTTATCAGTCTTAATAGGAATATGAAATTATAAAATACATTAACACTTTTTTTCATTTTCTTTACTTTATCGTTCATATATTAAAGAATTATATATTATTTTTTAGACCTTTAGTTAACGAATATGATGAGCGAAGATTAAGAATGAAAAATATAAAATTGGAGGAAATAAAAATAAATTATGATATATTACATTCTCTTTTATTGCATTATTACAAGTATATTAATCATAACTACTCATTTTCGATTTACCATTCCCCGTAATTCCACTTTCAAGAAAGAGCATTCTAAGTTATATATACTGTTTATGATATATATTTTAAGAAAGAGTTTTTGCTACTTTTGTTACATAACGTAAGCAAACATATGTAAACAAATGATCGACTATATCTAAAGGTCCGTACTGACTTGCTGATTAATATCGCAATGTAACAGTACGGGCTTTTAGATATAGGCGATGACTTATTTACATAAGTTTGCTTACGTTATGTAACAAAAGTATCAAAAAGTAGCAAAAACTTTTTCTTAAAATATATATCATAAGCAGCATATATAACTTAGAATGCTCTTTCTTGAAAGTGAAATTACGGGGAATGGTAAATCGGAAATGAGCAGTTATGATTAATATACTTGTAATAATGTAATAAAAGAGAATGTAATATATTATAATTTATTTTTATTTCCTCCAATTTTATATATTTTTCATTCTTGATCTTCGCTCATCATATTCGTTAACTAAAGGTTCAAAAAATAATATATAATTGTTTAAAATATGAACGATAAAGTAAAGAAAATGAAAAAAGTGTTAATGTATTGGGTGAGTGCAAAAGTTCGTGCGGAGTTTCAATAGATGGAGTTATAAGCGTCGTAAAGTGTTGTCATTAATACTTCATCTACATATTATATAACGTTGGAAAGGTGACGTCTTCAGCTATTATTAAAAAAAATCATTTGTTTCATACAAACTGCTTCGAGAAATATCACTTTAAAAATGAGTATCGATAAGGTGCATTTACGGCATGTTATGCTTTACGAGTTTCGGAAGGGAATAAACGTTGCCGCAGCCGTAAAAAACATTCAGGATGTTTATCAGGATGAAGCACCAGCTAAACGAACTGTGGAAAAATGGTTTGCTAAATTTCGGCGCGGAGAATTTAACCTTGAAGGCGAGCCACGCTCTGGTCGACCTTCTGACATTGATGACGATGTTTTGCGTACTTTAGTGCTCAATAATCCGCGAATTTCAACAGAAGAAGTTGCTACAGCACTAAACGTTGACCGATCAACCGCTTTTCGGCGTTTAAAAAAGATGGGATTCGATTTGAAGCTCGATATATG